ACACTAATATAGATACATATAAATACTCTATATATTAAATTGAAGAAAACAGAAGTATAAATGTGTATTTACAGAAACATTATTGTACTGACATATGGAAGATGTTGATTTTTTTTACACATTTTTAAAGCCAGATTTCATACTAAAGACATCTTTCCATATTTCACAACTTTTGCAAGTTTAACATCACACATAATGTGATGAGTTTTATTGTGTAATTGTGTGTATATTTTTGGCAGAATAATATAGAATATAGAATATTCTACATAATATAGAAATTGTAGAATTTCTATTGTACATTTTGCTTTCTCACAGAACAAAAACAAACAAACAAACAAAAAACTACTGGGTTAAAAAACTAGAACAGTTGAGGGACAAATTCATAAAAAAAAATTAATTATATCAAAAAGTAGTAGATCATGTTAGTAGTGAAATGTGTAGTTAATTTGTCAGCAACCATATGAAGCCAGATATGCACAGGTAAAAACCTCTAAACATGTTTCCAGATTAATCCAAAATAATTCCTTGATACATAAACATTTATTTTTTTTAAGTTGTGTAGACTTTTTTCCAAGAATCAGTAAATATTTATTTATTTACTTTGTGTTCCATGCCACTGCAAAAATTTCAACAGAGAGAAATATTAATTCAAGCTGGGAAGCTGAGCTCTCAGCCTCAGTGTAAATAAGAAATGAGTGACATTTCCATTAGGTTTGGCAAAGCAAAGGTTGAAAATGTGTGTGTGATTGCTTGAGCTGTGTTCGATCTCACTGTATGTTTCTTCTTTTCATCACTTTTGTTCTCAGTGCTGTGGCACCTTTGAAGTGTGGATGTAATACTTTATGACATAATAGGTAGCAGGTATTTTGACTGACAGGGAAGAGAGAGTGAACAAGTGAGAAAAAGTGAGAACGCTAGATTACTTAAAAACAGTTCTGTTCATCATTTGAATTCTACACTGGTTCTTGAGAGGTGGGATAAAACATGTAGCACTCAAAACAGCATTAGTTGCACTGAAATGAATCACATAAAATTATTTTAATAAATAATAATAATAATAATGATGATGATTTTAATAATAAAAAATACATTATCACTCAGAACGCCTAAATCCACCTTTACTCAAACATAACTCAATACTTTATACATATAGTATGCATATCGATCTCACTGTATGTTTCTTCTTTTCATCACTTTTGTTCTCAGTGCTGTGGCACCTTTGAAGTGTGGATGTAATAATTACGACATAATACCTGCTGCAGATATTTTGACTGACAGGGAAGAGAGAGTGAACAAGTGAGAAAAAGTGAGAACGCTAGATTACTAGAGTGAATGAGAGAGAGAGTTTGGCCAGTAAAATGTTTGCCAGCAGGGGTTTGGCATAGCATCCTCTCTCACATGCTGGAAAACTGTGGAAACAGGCATACTAACGGCCCATCTGTTGAGAGAGTGAGAGAGAGACAGAGAGACAGAGAGACAGAGACATAACAGAAAGTCCTTTTGCGCAGTGCTGACAGGTGATAACTCTACAGCACGTCCTCTTTAGTTTTCTCCTGGTTCTGCTCGCAGATCTTCCGTAAAAGACTAATGAAATGTAAATGTAATGTTTATGCAGTTAAAACAATAAATGTCGAATGTGATTGTATATAATAGCATGTTTTGGGTTTTGAAAGTTGGTGGATTGTTACACTTTTTATATTATTAAATCTATTTGAAAGTTATTGTACAAAGAGTACCTATAGGAGAAAAGGTACAGGTCATGGGGCAAGTTGTCACAATAGAACGTTTAAACTGCATACAAATGTAAAAGGATATCTATATCTGGTAAAAGAGTGTAAAAATTCTCTTACTATAAAAATTCCCTTACTATATTTGGTGTAAAATTCAATGTAACTTTTAGTTAAATGCTGTTAAATTGACAGTTTTTGGATATGGTCTCATAATTTACAGTGAAAACCCACAAATTGTCACTTCATGTTTTTTATTTTATTTTAATTTTTTTTATTATTATTATTGCAATATTTTAGTGTCATGTCTTACCATGATGGTGTTTTATAACCGTACATTTCATGTGTTTAAAACTGTACATAACCACTGTTAGAGAAACCAAGCAATTAGGTAACTGTACGTTGACCCAAAACCTTGTACGTACAGCCCTTGTAACAAAACAAGCCTTCCTCTTGAAATTCATGGTCCGGAATGACAAGTTGCTGTTATAGAATTTCTTGATACATTGCCGTAGGTTATCATCTCAGCCATTTAATCTCAGTTTAGTCTGAACTTTAATCTCCTGTAATTAGTTCATCTACCAAGCACTTGCACCATTGGGTTTTATTTGAATGTATATACAAAGTCATGTAAAGTTCAAATGTACATGCCTTGAATTTGTCTGTGGCCTCAACCATCTTTTTCATCCATACCCCCCATAGGTGTTTAGGAATAATGGTAAGCTACAGTACTAATCTATTTCCTTTTTATGACCTCAGGCCATTAGTATGACCTCAGTTTCTGAACATAGATTCATTAATATGTAAATGTGGTCAGTCAATGATTGAGTTTCCGACATCAGAAATCCAAGGACATTTTTATTTATATATTTATTTATTTTTGTTATTATATTGAGTTCTGAAAATATTGACAATATTACACTATTAACATTAGGAACTACTAATAACTAACAAAAAAAACTCTGATTAACAAATTAGTAACAGCTCTCATTTAAATGCGGTAGCAGAGGTTATGCATGGTTAGAAGATTCTATACTTTAAGATTAGGTTTTCATTGATAACTATTGTTAGAATTATGGCCCCAATAACTTTCTCTGAGAGGTATGAAAAAAATAGTGAACTAGCACATTCAACTGAGTGCTATTACTTACTAAATTGTTAAGCAGTTTCTTGTTGGTTAATAGCAAAATGTTAATATTTTTATGTTGCTGAATGTTGCTCATTTGTTCCTGTGTAGTTATTCATTAACGAGGAACAGTATTCTAAAGTGCTACTCATAATAGAAATGAAGCTGGAGCCAAGGAGGAAGGTTGAAGAATTGTCAGAAGACTGAGGTAAGAAGCTATTTATATACCTTTGAGTTGTAATTGACAGGATTCAATAAACATGCTTTTTCTGAAGTACTTTTAGTTCATCATGGTATCATTTTCTGAAAAAGCTATTACATTTTATCCTATTCCAGCAGACATTTATCCAGAGTAGTCTAACTTTGTGTGCTATGTGCATGATAGGAATAAACTATTCCAAGTAAACAAGACAAGTGCACAGGTTGATTTCATTGACATGGAGTAACATCTCTAATGGAGCCCCACATAAGAATTTTAGATCTATTTAGTTACACTTTAAAATATTAATTCCATCGTTCATCTACTAATGCATTCATTCATGCAATTACCTCAAAGGAGATTTATTCTGAACCTGAGATGCAAATGACTTTATTATTTTTTTCAGAGGGGAAACATTGACTAAACTCACCGAACGACCCTTTCTGT